CTGCAAATGAAGTCTCTTGTTCTTTACTAGCAACAGATAAAGCACTAATAGAATTAGTTGAGTGATCTTCGCTAAACTGTTGTACATGAAGCCCAGTAGGACAAGTATCAGATGATGTTAAACTTGTAGGACTTAGCAGTACAGTATTTAGACATTGAGGACACGAATTAACAAAAACTTCTTCTTCTAATTCATTCTCACTATCAGTATCATCTTTCAGAGTTTTTGCTGCTTTTCTTACTGCAACTACATTAAAATTTGAACCACATGCCACGGCGGACACTGTTCTGCCCTCAAAAAATTTCACCTTTTTAGGCTCAGAGCTATTAATATCTATTTGAGATTGATTTCCACTAGCCCAAAGTTGTCCATTTTCTGTTACAAATAATGTTGCTTGATCACTAACAGCTATCGATTTTACTTTGACAATTTCATTTTCTTGTTTATATCTGCAATGGTAATAGATTATTTTAATATTCTATCTAAAGTGAAAACTACTATTTAATGAAACCTACCCATGGCTGCAACATTTGACTTCTTCTTTTAGAATTATTGTATCTATCACGCTCATATCCTGAGGATTTACTTTCAAAACATGTCCATTATTATCTACAATAAATAAATAATCCGAATTGCATGCTATGTCAATCACATCAAATTGAGCCCTTTTGAAAACCAATGACGGAGGGCTGTTCTCCAAAAATGATACCTCTCCATAATACAAATTATTAGTAGTTGTTGCTACAAAAATGTGATCTTTAATAGTGACTAGCCTACAAATTATGCCATTTGGTTGATCACCAAAGGTGTATGACAATTTATCAACACCTCTCCATAAATGCATGTGTTTCTCCATTTTGTAGGATGTTTGACAGATAAACTGATGTGCATAACCTAAAGGTATCTTATTTTAGACGATAGTGGTTTTTGGTCAATAACGCTTTTGTCATGTGATTCGCGACTGAATCTCTTTCACTGAACTTTCCTGCAAGAGTACTCGAGGAAATTTACATATTGACATGATTAAACTAATGATTTCCTTATTACAATGTCGAACTTGTTTCAACAACACATACCATAAAACCTATATACATATATACTACGCTTTGCTACACTGTAAACTGTAACCGACACTTTGATACCGGAGATGATTTGTCACATGATCATTTACTATATCATTCTACTATATAAGAGAAGGGATAGATTTTTATTATTAAGCGTAATTTTCAACGGAGTAATTTGATATGCAATAAATAGCTGAAATTTTTATAGTACCAGTTGTTTGTAGCAAAGTAAAATAATTTTAAAATAATTTTACATAACATTTTGCCTGTTACATATCGATACGCATTCTGTTCATTGAACAAATAAGTACATTGAATTGAACCAATCATATTTTATTGATAAGAGTTAAATTTATGGGTTTCGTTGAATATGTGTACGCGCCTAAGAATTCATCTATCGTTGTCGAAATTGGATAAATTGAATTCGACGCACCAATCAGGAGCATCCACGATCTAAGCCCCGATGTTTGTTGTAAGTTATAGAATAACGTCTGCTAGAATGGCAGCGATAAAATTGATTTGGTCGTTGTTCATAAATTTAACAATATTTGTAATATTAACTGTGGCAGGGTAAGTGAAAAACTCTGTTAATGTCTATAAAATTCAATTATTTTATATATCAAAGATTATTTTATATATCATATTTGTTTATTACGATATTATAACCTCTTACTTTTCAAAGCATCACGAGCTATTAGCACAATTTGCAGAGTGATTTTAGTTTTTTGCGTTTCCCACTAATAATTCTATTCAAAAAAAAAAAAAAAAACCTATTAATAATACATTCACGTATTTTATATTGAATCAAGGATTTTAATTTGGGATATCTATTATATATGATATATTTCAAATAGGAATTAAAATGTGTATATATACATATACTTTGCAGGAGAGATTTTTATGCCATTTTAGGCATACCGTCGACAGCAAGCCAACATGCGATAAAGAAAGCATATAGAAAATTGGCAAAAGAATTACATCCTGACAAAAATAAAGATGATCCAAATGCTTCTCAGAAATTTCAAGATCTGGGTGCAGCTTACGAGGTTCTGTCAGATAATGAGAAGAGAGAAATGTATGACAAATGTGGAGAAGAATGTTTAAAGAAGGATGGTATGATGAACAATGCTGATCCATTTGCAAGTTTTTTTGGTGATTTTGGCTTCCACTTTGGTGGAGAGTCTCAACATCAACAAGAAACGCCTAAAGGTTCCAATATTATAATAGACTTAGTAGTTACTTTAGAAGAATTGTATAGTGGAAACTTTATAGAGGTAAGATTTTATATTTAATGGTAATTAAATGGATAAATTGAACATGAAATGAGAAATTATCCTTTCAGATAACAAGAAATAAACCTGTTGCGAAGGCAGCAAAAGGAACAAGGAAGTGTAATTGCAGACAAGAGTTAGTTACTCGTAATTTAGGGAATGGAAGATTTCAAATGATGCAACAATCAGTTTGCTCAGAATGTCCAAATGTTAAATTTGTTACCGAAGAACGTGTATTGGAGGTTGAAGTAGAACCTGGTATGGTAGATGGACAAGAGACCAAATTTACAGCAGAAGGTGAACCACATTTGGACGGGGAACCTGGAGATTTAATTTTAAAGATACGAACACAGCCACATTCAGTCTTTGAAAGAATTGGCGACGATCTGTACACAAATGTTACTATATCTATGCAAGATGCATTGATAGGTTTTAAAATGGATATAGAACATTTAGATGGTCACAAAGTGACTATTCAAAGAGATAAAGTAACCAAACCAGGAGCTCGTATTAGGAAAAAAGGAGAAGGAATGCCTAATTATGAAAACAATAATCTTCATGGAACTTTATATATTACATTTGACGTTGCATTCCCTGAAACAGAATTCACAGATGCACAAAAAGAAGGTAAATTATTTTAGTTTAGTTAAATTATACATAATGTTTCTTATGATAGTCAATTTTTTTTTGTTTTTGTTTTAGAAATAAAAAGTTTACTTCAACAAGGTTCTGTAAATCGAATTTATAATGGAATAAGAGGAAATTAAGAACTTTAAGTGCAATGTATGTACAAAGTGAGAGTATAAAGAGTGCATACAACTAAGGTGTGTGTGTTGACTCTGTGTGTTTTCTATATCAAGTGGTGTTTTCGCTTCCTTGAAATATGAATACCAACAGGTTTGGTAACCAGCCATGAGGTTAGTAGAAGTGAATACATGTAGCAAACATAATAACCATTGCAACACGTACTTCCTCTTTGAGTTTAAGAGACTGGTCACATATATTATTGCCAATTACTTATATGGAGCAATGGTTAAGTAGTTTATTTAAAAAAAATAAGTTATTTTTTTCTTTAACATGCATGGGTGATGTATGAGTGTTTTACATGAACAGAAATTTTGCATTTAAATAGTTTTTAAATATTGGACTTAGTATCCATATACAATACAAACAATTAGCAAACTATTGTATTACGATTTTTCTATTGATATTATTTGCAATAAAATGTACGACACCATCCGTCATCAGTAAGAAATAAGGATTATACAATCATTTAACTTGCATTTCAAATTTTTATTAAGTAAGTATAATTCTTTCACCAGATACAACACAATATGTTGTAATGTTTTGTTGCCTTGTGAGTAGCAACGTTAGAATCTCTGATAAAATTGGAGGCCACAAATAAATTATAATTTTTGTATTTTTATCATAATTCTAATGTACTTACACCTGTAGTTTTTGTTAATTTATCATTCAGTTTATATAACTATCTCAAGTACGTCACCGATTCATGTTACAATCATATTAAAAGTTAGTTAGCACAAATATTTTACGAACAATACTGAACTGTATTTTGTTTGCAAGTAAAAATCATTTGCATCGAACTAAAATCATTGAACAATTTCAGTGTGTAGTCCTAATAAAAAATATGCATAAGTAGTAAATATTTTTCTAAACGAATTAGCACATTTTACAAATTCTTAAGTCGGGTATCATTAGACCAATAATGTGACTTCTCTATTTCCTAGTTATCTCAAGTATAATAAACAAATTGTTTTATATTTTTTATAGTAATTGTTTCTTTGTGAAACGCAAATAGCAAGTAAGTATTCAAATTACGTTATTCTATTTAAGTTTAGGAAAATTATACGTGTGTGTATGTGTGTGTATGTGTGTGTGTGTGTGTACAAAAGTTATTAATAAGTCTTTCGGAAAATAATTTTTCTACAATCATAAGAAGATAGTTTGAGCTCAAAGTTAATTCAATCTTTAGGTAGATTTTAAAGCCAGAATTCAATTTTACTTAAACTAAATATTTTTAATTTAATACATATTGTTATAGAAAGACGAACTAAATGTAGAAAGTTTACAAGTTTCGCGTTTAATAATTAAAATACTAGTATTAGGACTTTCTTTAGATTTACATAGTTCAAAGTTGTTCACGGTATGCTTAACAAATCAAACGTCGTATCATATTTAAGTATTTTTGCAATTTAGCCCAATGCAAGAAGGAAATTTAGTTTTGCAGTATAAAAAGATCGTATCTGTATGATAATTTTTAGACACGTACGTCGTCGGTCAGATTTCAATTCAATAATATCGCTGCACCGCGCCAATTACTTATTTACATTTATTTACTTATTTGTTCATTACTCTATTACTATGTATTTTATTGCTATTATATGCAATAAAAACAACGTTACTGTTATTGGTTTAATTTGTTAAGCACGAAACTGTCGTGAATCATATTTTTAAAGCAAGTATCTTATCACAGTGTGTAACTTTTTTTTGTACCAGTAATACTGGCTTTTATCACGCTAATTTAATTAAAACTACGATATATTTGTCAAAGTAAATTGCTTGTAGACTGTTTCAAGGAAATTGAAAAGGGGGAAAAAGGTGAATGATAAGAAATGATAACGAGAAAAAAGTAAAACAAATCAGGCTACAAACAGTAACAGTATAGCCTCATATTGAATTCGTCGACACAGGCGCTTTGTTTGCCGTATGCATTCAATCTGCTAACTGATCCCACCAATTTGTTAGTCTTGTCCTCGCTTCTGTATCGTATCGTTCCCTCGAATATCGCGTCACCAGGTTCTGTTTGAACTGTGATTGTATAATCGACCAGTTGACTCTTCTCACCCTCCTCGCCCTTCCACGCTTTCGCGGCTTTGATCTCCTTCAGTTTCAATACTGCGCACTGCACGAATTTCTTCAGCATCTTGTTCAATTCCGAGAGTAGAAAGACCGCCTTGTCCCGAAGGCCCTCGTCTTCCGGCGGGACATCGTAGCTGTTGTGACACATGCACCAGTGGCTGGCTATACCCGCCATGGAGCACGTTCTGTAGTCGGGAATTGGCAAGAACCAGCTGATACCCCGTGGCAAATTGTCGTTCTTCGGCATCGCTCTGAACCGAGCCTTGAGACGCGGCTCCTCCAGGTTCTCGGAATGCAGCATGTCGATCAGGGTCTCGTGCAAGTCGAACGCCGTTGTCAGACTCCGCGTGTTCCTCCGGAAATTCGCCCAGGCTATTTGATACTTTTCCCTCCACCATCGAGGCAACACGATGAACACAAACGGCAGGCTGTCCTCCATTCTTCCTTGATAAGTCTGCCGGAAGCTTCCCCATCTCATCCCGTGATCGCTCATCACTATCAACGCTGTTTGGTTCAACAGCCGTTGGGCGGACAGATAGGTGATCAGGTTGTAATAGGAAAGGTCGCCCAACTGCGGATAGTTGAAGAAATCGTGGGTCAAGCTTGCTTGCCAGATCATCGCGAAATACGAGTCCCCGTGGAATTGTGAGGCGATTTTCTTGGCATAGTCCAGCAGGTTTTCGAACGTCTTTCTGGTCCCAACGCAGAGATTCGCGTTCAGTTTGTGCGTGTTGCCGATGTCCTTCTCAGAGGCGATACAGAATGGTCGCAGATAGTAATCGGTCGGTTGAGCCCGGAAACCACGTTTCAGATAGTTGAAGATGGTCATGCCGCAGGCGTCCTCGCCGAAACCCGTCCGATAACCGGATGCGCTGAAATTTTTCCAAATGAATGGGCAGTCGTCGAATGGTTTGTTTTTATTTTGCCAACATAAATCGTGCAATTCTGACTCGGACAAGCCGCTTAACACAGGCACTAGATTCGGATACGTGTTATCAGCTACTTTGGTATAGCCCAACAGTTCCACCGCTTCGAGCTCTTGCAACGCGTGGACAGTTTTCGGCATCATCCGATGAAAATTCAATCTTGAGATCGAGTCGAGGCCGATTATCAACACGCTCAGATACTCATTCCTCGAACTGGCCGCCCTAGCTTTCTTGCATTTATTCTCCACCGAGCGGAAACGAGGCACGAATGCGTGATAATCCTTGTATATCATCTCATTGTTGCGCGAACATTCTACTTTCACGAACTCGGTGTTCACAGCCGTCGAATTTTTGAACTTGAAACACTCGTTACCGTACCTGTACACAAATACAAAGGCAATTGGAATTAACCACATTCACGTGTCACGCGAATCGAATGCTTGATCTCAGATAGAGATTAGCGATGATTATTGTTATTATTAGATTTGCGTTACAAAGTTTTCGGTGAACTTTCTTACAAGAATAAAAAATAATCGAAAGGAAGTTTAAAAGAGCTCGTCTTATCATTGATAGAAATAAAATTGATCAGTCTTACTGACGTAACAATGTTATCCTCGTTCTTCATTCGCCAGAACGGCCTCCAGCAGCAATCAATTTCCTCCGAATTGTTGTAAAAATGGCTGATCGCGTCTGCATTTATGTACAATGCTGTGTTGTTCGAGTCGACCAACGGTAAGTGACCTCCGTGTTCGCAAACAAGTGGCTTTTCCTTCTCGATGAATCGTGTGATCGCCGAATCGAAAGGGTCCATCGCTGGAATTCGACAACCCTTGTTGCGAACCACGAAACCAGAATTGGCTATAGACGCGAAGTAAGACTTCAATTCTACGTAGTTCTCTAGAAATGAATTAAGCATTCATCGGTATGATTAATCATCGATCAGTTAATGGTAATCGATTGATAGGGGAAAAAAAAAAAAAAAAA